ACAATGCAGAAGACAAATGCGTTATGATTTCTCAACCAAGTTGACTTTAAATAATATTAGTTAGACCTGCTTATGTAGCTTCTGACACTGAATAATAGTGTTATCTATAAAAATGAACAAAAGACAAAATTCAGACTACAAAAACGTGGCTGTCGCTACAGTTTTTAGCTGCAGTACTGTGCTAAAGTTTCAAGCAACTGAGAAAATTACATGCAAAACTTTTATTTTCTCAGAAAAAAAGCATACAATAAGTACAAATAACATTAATACAGTAAGTACTGATCTTATGTATGTTAACATGCTAGGGTATGCTAAGGTAGTTATAACAAAACATGAGGTTTGGCTTATTCACACAATGACTCGGGGTGTCCAGGAGAAATCTAGAACCTAACTTTGTTCTTCAAACTATCTCACAATATACAATAACAGCATACAAAACACAATAACTACTACTTTTTTTGGAAAAAAAAAAAAACAAACATTTTTTTAAAGCTATTTTTTACTGTATTTATGTTTATTTGATATTATTCGAATGACATATGGTGACTTCAAAAGCATAAACACACTTATTACCAAGATAAATGGTTTTTGAATAAGGTGCTCAGGTGAATAAGACTTTTGTACAGACACATACATGATGTACTTCTGTCCACTTTTATAGCGAACATACAGACTTTTGTCAAACTGTCGCTTTAAGTGCAATGAGACTCCACACTTCAACCAGTGGCTTCGTCTACGTCTGTAACACGCTGTCTGTAACAGTAATGACATGGCAAAGAGAAGCATGGTGTGACAGAACTGCTCTTTCACGCTATGCAGGGACAGTAGGCACTGCAGAGAGCATGAGTCACATTCATTACGAAGCTCACGCGGGGACAAACTACAGGGTGGATGTGAATGGTGGGCTAAGTCAGGCTTTCGTCTGGTTGCAGACAAAAGCCTGAGAGAGAAGCCAGAGTGTTAGAGAAGCTTAAAGTGGACTTAAAAGAGATAAATAGATAGAGACAAAGAGAGAGAGAGAGAGAGAGAGAGAGAGAGAGAGAGAGAGAGAGAGAGAGAGAGAGAGAGAGAGAGAGAGTGTGTGTGTGCGCGCAATGAGGCTTCAGATACAGACACGCCCCTGCAGTTACCCAGCCAGACACCAGAAGAAAACAAATACAGCTGAAGAAATAACACACACACACACACACACACAATCACATAGCATAAACACACATGCAACAAGGTATTAGATGATGTCTACAAATAAAACTGATGAAAGGTTTTGTGTAAAATCAATATTATTGTATTAATGTTATTTGTATTTATTGAAATATTAGCATTTTTCTGAGCAAATAAACACTTACTGCCCAGATGAACAGGTTTTTGACTGTCATTTTCTCAGACATGTAACGTTTTTGTACAGTACTGTATATGTAAGTATCTCTATGTAACATGACATGTTTATGGCAAGGTTATGTCAATGTTATGTACCAAGATTCAAGTAAAGAATTACTAAATTTTCTTCGCCTAACTCTAAACCTATTTCTAATCTTAATCTCAGTATTCAAAACAAAATGTTTTTGTTATTTGGTCAGAAGCTTTTAGTTTATGGATGCATCAATACTTTCAGACCAAGCACAGGTACGTTTTTTGGTACCTGCCGAAATCGACAACAATGCCCTACTAAGTAACTTATTTAGAATTTAGTAGTTGTTAGTATAAGTGAGAGCAATGTTCCTTAACAGTTAAATTGTTCAAATCTAGCTGACTTAAATGATGTATGTTAGCTATGTATGTTCTTGGTTTGAAGAAGAGTGGGTTTTGTTCCACGTCAAAAAAGCGCTTCTGTAAAGTATGTTTCATAGTTTTGATCCCTGCTACTCATATGTCTCTTTAAACAACAGTCTCTGTAGCACAGCAAATGCAGGAATCACATCCAAGGCTAATACATTTGAAGAGCTCACTTGTCATGTTTTGCACCTTGCTGGTTGAGCTGTATTCATATGCTCACACTGTACAAAAACGTTTGGTCTGACTGACATGCAGTGACGTGGGTGCATGTGAAATGCAGCCCCTACAGACAGCTCTGTCTACGGACAATATCCAATAAATCTGTTTAATTCAGAACACGGTGCGCACCCAAGTACTGAGCAAACATGCTGAGAAACTGTGCTGTAGTGGCTTTGCTAACTTGTGCCACACTAGCCACGTTTACATGCAGCCTAATAATCCGTTAATAATCTGACTAATAGCTCAATCAGAATACAATACGTCCGTCTATACACCTCAAATGGACTAGACTAGTCAGATGGAGGCCATTCTGAATACAATTTCTGTCCAATTGAACGAGGTGGGTAATCCTGTAAATAATCTGTTAAATAGAAGAATAATAACCCTGTAGACTCCTGTATCTGATTACATTCCCAATCGGAAAGTTTAAGTCTGTGCGTCATGTCATAGTGAAAGTTTAGAAACGTTCAACACGGCGGGAGCAGAAACTGATCAGCAGAGGAGACGAAGCTTATGTTTTGAACTTTAAAAGACGGCAGCGGGACGGGCGTCCAGCTTACGTGTCTCAGAACACAAGCACTACTTAATGCTGCTTGTGTCAGTCTGACTGGACTCACGTGCTGTTCGGTGTCATGGTAACGTCTACACCCCATGTGTCAAACACAAGGCCTGTGGGCCAGATCAGGCCCGCGACACAATCCTATCCAGCCCGCAAAAGTATTTTGATTTTCTATTAATACTAGCCTGTTTTACAATGTGCTGCACTACAGTCCCCAGCATGCACTACAACGTAATGGGCACTCTGACTCCACTACCTCAACAACAGTTTATGGCACAGGGGTTACACCTCAATTCTACACTATTCCACACCAGTCATTTCACCAAACACACCAGCTGCATTTCAACCAGTATAAACACTAACCGTCAGCTCAGCAGCTCAGAAACTGAGCCCAAGTATTAATGAACTTGCAGAAAGGATGCCAGGTGCCTAGTTTCAGGAGATAGGTAAGTTTAAAAGACAAAGCTCTTGGGGACATTTAAATTTAGAATATTTCAAGTATTCCCGCAATATTTTTTTCTACAACAAGTGCCTATATTTTACTGTTGAAGTTATTGTGTATTTTGAACAAACAACGGCTGGTTTGGGTTATAGCACAACTTTAATTAAAAATTAAATAAAAACTCTTTCTCTGGCCCACAGATTTGTCGAGATTTTCTTATATGGCCTTTTTACTAGTTGTGTTTTGACACCCCTGGTCTACACTAAGTGGTGCTGTATGTATGCGTGCAATTTGGATCGGATTACTCGTAGTGTGCATATAAATGGAGATTTTCCATCAGATTGTTGAGTACAGTGAGCATTTAAACACCTCAGTCTTAATCTATAATTGGACTTATACTTGTACCTATACTTATTATACTTGACTGCCACGACATCAGCAACACTGTTATGCAAGAAGACTGTCATTCACACGGCAGCGTACACTAAGCTTACGACACATGATATCAGGTGGTACCGGATGTTGCTATAGGTGCGTTTTGTACGAGTACAAGTACGACAAATGAACACAGCATTTTATAGACACCTGATACCAGTTCCGGTAATGATGCAACCCTCATTCCATTGGTCAGGTAGCCCTTTTTTTCAACGGTTTACCTACAGAATCAGGACATTTGTGTCCTCAAAAACATAAACTAACACTTGCTCTGTCATGGCCACATCCACCACACACAGCCATGACTGTGCTACTGAGTCGTGCTATTAGCCCACCTCGAAAATTTCTAAGCTGCGTGAATGGAGCTTGCTTGGCATACTGAAGGAAAGGAAAGGGCTGCTGAGTCAACTCGCACACAGGGCCCTGTGTGGTACATACAGGAGCCTGAGCTGTCCTCCTGCACAGCCAAAAAGACTGCTACTGTGTGCTTCATTGAGTGGAGTTCACAAATGACACAGGGTTTGGCGCGCACAATATTTACTCAAATATACACAAACACAAATCATCAAATTATGTTCAATTTGGCTTGGGCTAATTAAAACAGCCGACTGACCGTGGCTGAAGCAGTGTGTGGCAGCAGACAGAAAATCACAGCCTCATTAACTGCAGCAGCTGCATCACACTGCTCTCATCTACTCTACACCATTCAGACCAAACTGACCTACTGCCTTTCTCTCCGACTGCATGTTTAAACACACACAAAATCACAGCTTTAGACTTCTGACCTCTGAAGTCATAAACCTCTGAAGTCGTGTCACAGTTTTGTAGTCAGCGTCATGTCCATATAAGGAATTAAATTAAAAAATATCCCAAAGGCCATACATTTCGCCCAGTGTACATTTCTATAGATAGATAGATAGATAGATAGATAGATAGATAATCCTTTATTAATCCCACAACGGGGAAATTTGCGGTGTTACAGCAGCACAGAAGACAGAGCAGCAGGAAATATACAAACAATATATAAAATAGAATAAACAATAAAAGTATAAAGATATATATGTATATATTTCCAACTATTACCAGATCCTCTTAATTTGGAGTTTGTTAAGGAATCGAAATCTAAATAATTCTACCTGGAATTATCTACCATTGAACTATCATCATAAAACTAGACAACTCACCAAAATACCCCATGCAAACTTTGTTAAATGCAGTAGTTAAGCTGCTTTGGCAGCAGTAGCCAACTGTTCCAGTAGCTGGTGTTATATATAAATGTTAATGACCTTGCAACTCAAAGATCAAGTGACAATTGAGGTGGGGAATGTACAAAGGACAAAAAACGTATCGAGTTTGGAATAGTTTTGTGCACCAGCAGGCTCAACAGTGGCAATGTTCAAAAACAGCATTCATTTTTCCCATAGAGAAAAACTGCTTAGACCTAGAGATCCTAATACGGTCATGACACTAACTACAGAATGACGCATGACCTCAGCCACCCTTAACCTTGTTACCCACTCACAAACACACAGCTTTGCCCGGCTTGTCTCTCTCTGAATAAATCAGACTCACCACTGTTGCGGTTTTTGCGGTTGGATTTGCCACCGCTCAGCAGCGCCTTCAAGCTGTTCCTGAACATGGCTGCTCTGTCTGCACACTATAGAGAAATCTGTAGGGAGAGAGGGAAAAACACAAACACGCTGCATCAGCCATGAGCAAGCAGGACAACAGCAAACCAGCAGCAACCCAACAAACTGCAAAGTGAGTCTCTATAATGCTTTATAATCTTCCTAGCACACACAAGGCTGTTCTGACAGACTGCAATACACTACATGAAGTATAGGGTCAATGTAGCTTCTGCTCTCTTCCTGTACCCTAAAATAAGAAATCACTTGTCACACATACAAAAATTTGATTGATGGCAAACAGAGAGGCAGTGAAGAAGGCAGAATTTCAAAGGTGGTCCTGATGAGACGGTTCACATTTTTGCTCTATCCATACGCGAGATGGGATTGAGCAAAAATGTGGAGAAAGGTTAATTGATTGAGGAAATAAATGGTAGTTAAAGCCCTAATGTGAAAAGGGCACAGAGTAGCATTTCCCCATCCATTAAATAACCCACAAGCCGTCCCATTTGGAGATGAATTGCCAGTGTAGTTGGGAGAACATGAGTGGTAGGTATATTCACCCACTGGCATAGTTGTGGTTATGTTCTTTCAAACTAATGCTAGCATAACACTGAAACTCCTATAGAGGCGCTAGCAGAAAGTAGCATAACCATAGTGGTGGTATTTGGATAGACAAAGGCTACATATACAGGTTTCTAAATGACATTAAACAGTGCTATACCATGATATGTACAGCTGTTACTTGTTTCTACTCATTATTATTGTTTGCTATTACTGTAGAAAGATGAGGACTCAGGCCATCCTGAGGTCACGTCATGTCCCACCTGGCACGGCCTGAGATGGTTAGAATACAAACAGTATAACAGGTCCAGTGCATTCACTACAAAACAGACCACACAGCACCCCTCTTCATGATGATGAATTAGCCACTGGACAGCTAACAGATGAATAATGGACAGCATCATTCATCCAGTCTTCTTTTCACCTGCCCATTCTGTCTTTAATCCAATCATTCATGATCTTTATTTATTAAGGTAAGTTATTGGAGAGCCTGTTCACTTTTTTTCTGTTCACTGTTGATAGTTTTGTAAGATTGGTGCATGGGAAAGTTTGTTCTTCAACCCACCCTTCAACCCTCAGAGACCCCAAAATAAGATAATTCAGTAGGCAAATTCAGTTGATTCAGGTACAATATACATGTACAAAAGAGTTTTAAAACCTTGTATAAATAAAATTCCACATTTTTATAGACAACAGTATGTCAGAAGCCACACAAGCAAGTCTATTTAACACAACACAGTTTGTGGTAAGTGTGTGATGAATTGGGCATACGGTTTACACAGTGCTAACTGGAGATATATAAGCAGGTCGAGCTCATGAACTGCACTCTAAGTTGAACTTTGGGGAAAACGCAATCACATGCTTTACCTAGCTTCTGTGGAACAGTGCAGTAGCGTGTGGTAAGACTACGGTTAGGCCTATATACCACGCACACATCCAATTATGCCTCAAATATTTGTGTAACAACTGGTTAACCAAATCTAGGCCTATGTCTAGTAGGGACATGCATTCTATTTTATTTTCGTAGTTGAGTATCCATATGATGAACAGGAAAAAGGAAAATAAAAACAAAACAAAAACAATTACTTCGGCTGAAATGATTAAGACTGTAGGCTTACTGTTTTAGACGATTGCACTGGTGTAAGGGGGCTACAAATTCAAAAATTTCAAAGCATGCAGGAAATATATTTTATTAAGCAAAATTGCCATGAGAATGTAATGGAGGCTGCCTTTTCAGATGCACTAATGAGCCAACACTAGTGCAAATTGGTACAACATTGGACGATGAGGAGGGCGCGTCAAACGAGGAATTTTCATCTCATCAATTATTATATTAACATGCCAACATGTTAGTCAGAGAAATATACTGTCACTTTTTCTGGGCTTAACTAACATCAGCTAGAGAGGTTCGCCTAGTTGGCTAAAAAGCCACAGCAGACTCGACTATGCTATCTGCCTTTTCAGTCACATCATTAACAATGTGTCCCTGTCAACGTGCAAAAGTCTAACAACATACTTGCTCCATTGTAAATACAAGCAAAACTTTCACATTTAACCTCTTAATATTCCAGGCGTATTACATAGTAAGGCTTTCTATTTAGTAACTACAGAGACTTCAATGCAAACCGATTGAGCGATTCTTAGGTTATAGAGTTGTGTAATAAAACTTTGGCCCTGGCCATTTAAGGGGTTAACAGTTTTGTTAAACTACAGGGAGATTCACTCGAAAGAGGCCCCGAATATTCTGTAATAACTCTCTCTAGGACGAACGAACTCTAGCAGTCTGAACGAATCAACGTACAATGTGCTCCTCAGTATATGGAGCTTTGAACAAGCCAGGATGGCCCTGCGTCTCAGTGATGAGGTAGGCGCCAGACAGCCGTTGTAACGTTTGACCTCTGTTTGCAGCTTCCGGGTGCATCCCCCCGTACCCCTTCATGTGTCTGGCAGAAAACGGAGATCACTTCCAGCATCACATGTAATGTAATCGATTACACATTCGTCAAGGTATGTATTTTTTTGGTTCGAATTGCTTCATCCTAACGAGAGTTACAACAGAATATTCGGGGCCTCTTTCAAGTGAATCTCCTTGTATAAAACTGGCATTTCATTGAACTGTTAACCTGTATATTTTTTCCATCTTTCTTCTGAAGAACCATTACAAATCCCCGAATAGTGATTTCAGTCTTTGAACACTTGCACCTTGGACAGTTAACCAACTGCTCCGGTAGCCATTCACATTCCTAATGGCTGGCATACTGGATGCCTGCTAATTTTTTGACAAACACACAACACAAGCTAGCCTGTAGGCTTATGTATATACATAAAATGGGTGTTTTCACCCATTATTTCTAATGCACCCACATTGACTACGTTCTGGGACTGGGTAAAAGGTTCTACTGCTTGTTGGCTACATTAGCTTCCATGCCTTAACTGCTAAAAAGACCTCAGGGTGTACACTGTGCTTGTACACACACTATAAACATGCAGAATCCAAGTCTAACATGAAGCGTCTGAAAGTGCAGGCGATTATTCCACATGTTCCAGTCTCCAAGCGCCTGTTACACTCTCTGTTGCCTGTCTTTGGGCTTGATAACAAGCTTTATCCACTCCATTATTTCAGGAATCTTTCAGCACCTACGCCAGGGAGGCCTCACGCTCTGAACATGCTAATTACTGTTTCACATGTGTGTGTGTGTGGGTGTATGTGCGCAAGTCTTTGTTCTGCAGCTGCTGACTGCCACATGGGTGGGTCACGGTTTCTGTATACGCCTCTGTGTGTGTGTGTGTGTGTGTGTGTGTGTGTACGAGCTGGGGTTCAGTTATCTTTGAAGAAAAACACATTCAGATTAATGAAGCTGAGAGTGTGAATGCAGTTCTGATCATGTCACTGAAGTCCCCAGCATGGCTTACTGTATTTACTGTTCCTTGATTCTGCTTAGTCTATTTGTAGCTCTTCTGATCTAGTACAGTGGTGTACATGGTCTATATTGGAAAATTAGGTCCACTGAATAGTTATACTGTATAGGCTGCAGTCAAGGCCACGTTTGTCATGTCCAAAGCAAGTGTAAGACGATGATTACTTGAAAATACAGTCAAATATGAACCAAAAGGGGGGTGAGACCAAGTCAAGTCCAGCTTAGAGTGAGACTGAGACAAAAAAATTCAAGTCCTTTCTGAGACCAAGTCTTAACTAGTCTTCAACTGCCTCCACTTGGGAAAACAAATTAACACACAGAATTCTACAGTGATAACTTTCATTATACTACACTGTAAAGTACTACATTTGCATTCAATTTACATTCTGTATTGACAACTTAAGGTCTGATTTTCTGTTTGTTTCAATATCAGGAACTGACACAAACATGGCAAAGTTTTGGTAAAAAACAGAGCTGTACATACAACAATAACTTAAAAAAAACACAGAACACTATTACAGGGAACAGAAACGGCTCCTAATCACTCAGAAAACCAGGAACACTATCTAGAACACTATGAAATAGAACAGGAATGGACCCTAATCACTTTTCCCTGTACCGGAAAGATCAGGAACACTATCGAGAACACTATTATTGGGAACATAAATGGGTTCTAATTACTCAGAAAACCAGGAACACTATCTACTATACTATGATATAAAACAAGAACGGTCCCTAATCACATATGATATTCTCCACTATGCTTTCATACTACAAAATGGCTGACTCCCAAATACAGCACTATACAATGACCATTACAAATAAAGAGGAAAGAGCCCTGAGATGGTCGGCTCAGGTTTGCTTTGTGAATCCCAGCGCAGGATTAAAGTGGATGCAGTGTTGGCTGGTTCCAATGAAGGGCAGGTAACAGCAAGCCTGATGTTCTTGTCTTATATGTAAATGTCAGCCAATGTAACTCCCAGTGAATGTTCATTAGCTTTTTTAGATACATTATTATTTCATCACTTGTAATAATCTCCCCTGCACTGTTTCAACACAGAAACTTAATACTGACTCATCTCAGCACTTATTTCAGCGTGTGGTTTGACTGTGGGTGTGATGAAAAAAGCATCACTATGACATGTTTACATACCAAGAGTTACATGATGCAGACCAGCCCAGCCCAAACACACATATTCTATTGCCTTTGTGCAAAGTAACAAGTTTCATCTTCTACATTTCTGAGTTTTATTACTTACATGCTGCACTGAGATAACCATGGTGGATAGTGATAAAATGAAAACTAACAAAAGCTTTTATCTTGAATATGACAATCATGACAGTCAATATGCTACAATATAATGCTAGTTAATTAAGTTAGGGTGAACATTTCTTACTGCCCACCAGCTCAGATATGTCCTCATCCTCCTTAAGTACACACACACACACACACACACACACACACACACACACACACACACACACACAAATTCCACTGCCTTTGTGCAAAAATTTCTAAAAGCTGCACATTTTCATCTATTTTTTTTATGTTTTATTACTTATATGCTGCACTGAGATAACCATGGTGGCTAGTGATAAAATGAAAACTAACAAAACTTTTTATCTTAAATATAATAATCATGACAGTCAATATACTACAAAATAATACTAGTTAATTAAGTGAGTGTGAATATTTCTCACTGCCCACCAGCTCGGATATGTCCTCATCCTCCCTAAATAGCTTTTTCATTTTTGTCTTCTCTGTGCCACCTTGTTTTCTGCAGTTCTTGCCACTGCTGTCTATCTTCACGAGATTTATGTATGAAAAGTACAAACAAAACAACTAACAAATTCTGCAGAGTACTGTTGTGTTAGCCAGTAAGGTGAATTTGATATGCTAATCTCTCAAGACTGATGTTAGCTTATCTAAATTTCCGTTCCACCTTAAATAGTGCGGCAGTCACACACTATCGCCTGTACAGTAGTTAAATGCTACAGCAATTAAGGTGGAACAGAAAATGAGAATAAGAAGCTAACATCAACTTCATTTAATCTCCATCACTGTATGAGGCCCACTTCGGCACTGCATGTCAGCATTCTGATTGGCCAATGCCAGGCAAAATTCTCCTCTCATTTGCCTTAAACCCTCCACCTCACTTCTGTCTGTTTTAAAACTGCCACTGCAACCGCCATAGGTACCAGACCCCCTTTAAATGTCTGAGCACCCCTGTAAAAACTTTGACACCACCCCTGATGGGTGAGAGACAGGAAGAAGCAGAAAGAATGGAAGCTCTGGCTTTTCTCTAAACAAACAAAACACTCTGCAGTACCGTCTGTTAGTGTCTGTTGATCCTCGGCTACATGCCAATGCTTGCTGTTTACGGAGGTCTAAAGGGGCTTTACGGAGAGATCAAGGCAGTTAGAGTCTCCGATACTGACATCTCTGAACAAAGAGCTGGACGTATGAAAGGCAACATCTCAGTGTTAGAGACTGTTATTAACTCTATCACTGCTATTACTTCTATTCAGTGTGTTCAGCTAGAAACAGTTCAGCTTTACTGTAGTCTGACAACACTGTCCGCAAGAGAGAGGGAGAAAAGGCAGAGAGACAGAGAAAAAGGGTGGAGGAGAAAAGAGAGAGAGAGAGAGAGAGAGAGAGAGCAACAGGGTGCTACAAAAGACAGGAAGAAAAAGGAAGAGAGGGAGTAGAGGGAAGAGGAAAAGTGAGAGAGGGAGAGGAAGGCATGGGGGAGATGAAGAGAGAGGGGGATGGAGTGAGAGGAACAAAGAGAAAGAAGAAAATAAGAGAGGGGGGGTAGAGGGAAGAAGAAAAGTGAGAGAAAGAGAGGGGAGGTAGGGGAAGACAAATAAAGAGAAAAGAAAGTGGAAAGGCAGAGGAAAGAAAAGGTGAGGGAACTAGAGAGAAGCGAGAGAGAAAGAGTGATAAAGAGACAAAAGAGAGGACATAAAGAGAGATACAGAGAGAGGGTTAGAGGAAAGAGGAAACATGAGACAGGGGAGGTGGGGGAAGACAAAAAAGAGAGTGAGAGAGTGAGAGAAAGAAGGAAAAATAAAGTGAAAGAGAAAGAAAGAAAGGTGAGAGAACTAGAGAGAGAAGCGAGAAAGACAGAAGAGAGAGAGAAATAAAGAGAGAACAGAGAAAGACAAGATACAGTGAGAATGGGAGAGAGATACACAGAAGAGAGGAGACAGAGAATAGAGAAAGAGAAAGAGACAGAGAGAGAGAGAGAGAGAGAGAGAGAGAGAGAGGAAGAGAGAGAGAGAGAAAATGTGAATTCTCAGTGAATTGAATGTGAATTACACACAACAGGAGAGACAGAAAGGAGGGAGTGAGAGAAAAGGTGAGTGAGAGGTCACAGAGAGAGTGAGAGAGAGAGATATAGTGTGTTGAGTGCTGGTTTGAGCTGTTGGTAGAGCTCCATATGGTGTGTGTTAAGTGAGAGTGACTCAGCAAACCTGTGGCTTCTTCCAAACAACTGCAGCAGCCTGTGGAACACCATCAGCTCCACAAGACCCCCACCTGAGGCCCCCATCCCTCTCTCTCTGCCTCTCTCTCGCTCCCTCCTGCTCTCTTCCCTGTTCTCTACAAGAGGAAGTAGAAGTTCTCAATAGCGAACCACAATTAAGACCTGTAAAATGGTCCTGTAAAATGACCACGTTGGGGACGCAGGGTTTTGTTAGGACATTGACAGTATGTACATTTTGCCATGTTAGTAAGGCCAATGCTGAACTGAATAACAGAGAGCCCACTGATTACAACAGCCTCTACTGTAAATGTATCTTATTTGCTAATTATCATTACTATTGTTGTCATTAATGTTGACTGCAATATTCATAATAACTATATTGAGTTTGTTCAGCCATAATCAGTTAAACCTTACTATGCTTTGGCAACAGTGTACTCCATACAGTCATGCCAATAAAGCTATCTTGAAATGAAACAGTGGAAGCCCCCGTCTCTTTGTTTTCCTTCATCTTCTCTTTCTTTCTAATTTAAACCAACTGTAGCTCTTCTCACAGGCATTCTCATCCTCTGCTTGGCTTATTTCCCTCTATTTTCTCTCTCTCTCTCTCTCCCTCTCTCTCTGTCTCTCTCTCTCTCTCTGTCTCTCTCTCTCACACACACACACACACACTTTTGGCCATTGTTTGACCGCTGCTGGTCGATTCCAGGAAGCCGCTCCCCTCTCAGCCCCCCGTGGCTGAAGCAGTGTGTGGCAGCAGTCTGAGTGAACAGCTCACGGCCTCATTAACTGCAGCAGCTGCATCACACGACTTTCATCTACTCTACAGCGTTCAGACCAGACCGACCTACTGCCTTTCTCTCACACTGCACGTTTAAACACACACACACACACACACACACACAGTCATGTGGGTCTGCCTGTGCAGGTATAAATACCATAAACACCATAAACCATAACATCAGCCTACAGGCTCACATGAGGCTCGGCCTTTACATGCTGTCCATCCAACCTTATGGATTAAATGAGCGTTATGAACTGCATCTTTAATTAACTTATAATGCAAGAGCCACAGTTCATAACTATATAACATCCATATAAGCTTTATAGTAGTTACTGAATAATTAATAACAGTCACAAAATAGTTCATAGTAGTAACTGAAAAATCCATCGTAGTTACTGAATATTACATAGTAAATACAGAAGTTATTAGCAGTTAATGAATAATTCAAAGAATACCTGAATAGTTCAATGTATGTACTGAATAATGTACATAATAATTATAGTAGTTACTAAATAATTTGAAGTGGTTTTGAAAACATATTTGTAATAGTTACTCAATATTTCTTAAAAGTTACTGAATAATTCACAGTAGATACTGTTTAATCCATAGTTGATTCTAAATAATTTATAATAAATACTGAATAATTCACACTAAATTACTAAACAAAATCAGTGTATACTGATAAATCATAGGAGTTACAGAATAATTTACAGTAGTTACTAAACTATAACAGGATTTACTGAATAATTCACTGTAGATGCTGGTTAAGTCATAGTAAATATTGAATAATTAATAATAAATACTAAACAACTAAATAATCTGTAGTAATTACTGAATAATCTACAAACGTTACTGAATAATTCATAGTAGATACTGAATAATCTGCAGTAGTTACTGAATGATTTATAGCAGATACCGAATATGTTGCAGTTACTGAGTAATTTAGAGTAGATACTGAGTAATCTGTAGTAATTACTCAGTAATTTAGAGTAGATACTGAGTAATCTGTAGTAATTACTGAGTAATTTAGAGTAGATACTGAGTAATCTGTAGTAATTACTGAATAATTTAAAACAGATACTGAATATGTAGTAGTGACTAAATAATTCATAGTAAACATTGAATAATTCATAATAAATACTGAAAAAATCATAGTAGAAACGGAATAATTCATAGCAGTTACTAAATAATCAGCTCAAAGTTAAAATACTTTGATTGCTATTCATAAATGAAAGCTAGTAATCACTAACTAGCGTTAGCTATACTAACTGGTGGCTGTTAGCTTGGACACATTGTTAGCCATGCATGGTTTAGTTTCACTGACTGCACCTGTAATGCTTGGATCACTTCATGGAGTTTCAGTATATAGGACAAATCACTACACAACAAACCTTAGACACGGACACAACAAAAAGTCCAGTGAGTCCAAAGCTGAAGCTGAGTCCAGGTAACAGCTGCGTGTCGGGCGGTGAGTCACTGACCCTCAGCATGCTTAAAAAGCTGATTTTTGGTGAAGGCCATAGAAATGAGAAACATGTGGGGGGAGAAGAGGTATATCCATGTCCACATGGAAGACTATTGCTTCTCTCAGAGTCATTAATCAAAGGCTTTTTCCCATCTGTAATGCGGCCAAGCTTGAGTGCACCAGCACACGAGGGGAAAGCAGGACACAACCAGGACAGCTTGTGGGAAACATATGAATTTGGTGTTTATTTCAGGGTGTTTGTGAAGTCGGGCGACTACATGGTTTCTGTCTTCGAGGTTCTGATCGCTCAGTTTCCTGCTTTTGTGTCTGTGTGAGTCATGGCAGTGAAAGCAGAAGAGAAGAGAAGAGAAGAGAAGAGAAGAGAAGAGAAGAGAAGAGAAGAGAAATGGAGCAGAAGAGAGTATAATAGAGAAGAGAAGAGAAGAGAAGAGAAGCGACAGAGAGAGACAGAGAGAGAGAGGAGAGTACTAGTGACACAGAGTGAGACCAAGACTAAAAGAGTAAGTACGGGATCAAGGTGAAGAAACTGAGCAACAAGAGTAAGAAAAGGAATGAAGCAGCCTAAATGTGGAGGGGGAGTGAGGACAGAGGGAATGGTGACTGTCTCCAGACTGTGCCTTACCATTGAAGAACAAAGAAGTCTGTCTTAGCCTTGCATAGCAAGATTTTCAGTCCTTTGGTTAGTCAACTGCAGCAGTGATGAATGCAGGAATGTTAATGCTAGCCTCTACAGCAGCCTCATGTCTGAACTCTGCTCAGCTAAGACAAAAAGATCAGAGCAGATCCTCTGAGAAACGGACCAAGCAACCCCAACACCAGTACACTGCATAGCTAAAACAGTAGGAGCCACATAAAAAAGTCTACTTTAGATTATTTAAACACTTTAGCACTCTTAAGAACAGTTTGTGATGATTTAGCTATGCAGTTTGCACAATGCTAATCGGTGTCAAACGACAACTTTTGAGGGGTTGTCATTAGAGACAGTCATAAAATGGATTCAATATGTTTACCGCTCACATCACTGTGGGTAACGCTACCGTTCTTTTGTGCAAAAGCCAGTCTGCAAAAGCCAATACTGGATGCATCCGCAGACAAAATCTTCTGAAGCGCTCGTACTCGGAGAAGAAAGAGAAAATGTAATCCTCTTTTTATTTCTCACAGCTGTAAGTCAACATGTTGTTAAGCGGCTTTTTGTTTCGGATATGCGAATTCTAGCTGGGCAGCGCTGGGTTGTGTGTGGCTGTACCAATTCAAAAAGCCACTGAGGAATAAGCCACTCTGAAAGAGGCCTCTTTCCGTCTGTCTGTCTATCTGTCTGTCGGTCACCTTTGGTGGTCCATGTCTGTTTGAAGTTACTGCAGCCATGGCAGCTTAGGAGGAGGAGCGAGGTTATGTCGGCATCTCCTGTGGCCGGACTCAAAACAAGTCCTGCTCTAGATCACACGACATTTGCAATTCTTTTTATTCCGGCTGCAAAACCAGCCCATTTAGAGTTCATCATGATTATGATCTCACAGTCATAAACTGCTTTACATTTGACCCCCCCATTTAGACTGCAAATGTTTAGCCCAGCCAGTCATGATGAAGTGATCTGGAGTGTTGTTACAGCAGAGAGTCTGTAAGCGACTTACTGGTATCGAAGATGTAGAGGAAACGGTTAAACGTGCGGTTCTTGGCTGTCAGGAAGCAGAAAAATCACTTTAGTCATCCAAGAATCAAATTTCTTTTTTTCTGATGTCACCGAGTCTGAACTTAATAGACTGTTCCATACATTTAGGCCAAGAAACCAAACAAATGTAGACTTCTAGGCCTGTAAAACATAATCAGAAATCGTCAGTGACTGACAAGCAACCGATGGTTTAGATGAGCTGTAATCTTCTAGAAATATAATACCTTATAGTTTTCCATAGGCAGCTGAATTTCAAAAGCACCTCACTCACTCGTGCAGATGCAGCAGTCTGAAGTATGTCCATAAGGGGGAGCTATTAGAACACGAATCATGTTTGTTTGCATCATTTCAACAGAAGAAACAGCCATAAACGTACACCAGAAGAAGCTCACAAATGTATGTTTGAGGAAACAACTTTCAAAACGAGAGCTGAAGTAGTTTATTCATCAAATCAGCTCATGCTAATGTAAGCTACATTAACTAAAGATAGCATAGAAAGTAGGTATGAGCTGCTGCATATCCTGTGTGAAGGGGGGTGAAAATCAGCATAACTGATGTTTCAAAATTTTGTGCTATGTATATTTAGATATTGCACAGGCCTACTTCAGAAGAAAAAACAAAATACAAGAAAATCTAGAATATGGGTTTCACTTCTGAAGTCTGGGTGTAGGAAGAACAAAGCTTGGGTGATAGTCCCAATAGATTTGGCTTCCCCATGTGCTGCAGTCCCAGAGTCATGCAACTAAGCTCCACTGGCTGTGCTTTGCCTGCAAATCCATCCAGGCTAGGCGAGATAAGGGCTGTGTTATTCTTCAAGATCGGCGGCAGAGCCAGTGGAAGCAGAGCGAAGAACGAAGAAAAAGAGAGCGGCGTGGGCAGGAAAACAAGACGAGGGGGGGTTAAACAATTTGGCAGAAGCCTGAAGGGATGGGGTTCACGGAAGGGTCACCCCCTTCTTGTGCTTGGCATGCACAATCACAAACACAAACTGTTCAAAGTAAACAATGCACTCTTCCTCAACCTGGTCATGTACTCGGTGCTCTTCAGGTAGACGGAACATGGCATCTGAAGTAATTCCCAGTCATGGCTGTTACAGAGAGAATGCACACCTGTAGGCAGGCCTGGGTGATAAAATGAAGCATTGTTTCGATAGTGATAATATGCATTTGAGGTATTTTTG